TGGTGACGAAGAATACTACTAGGACTTCTTTGCCAACGGACTATACTCAATTAGTATCAGCAATATCAAAATATTGATGGAGATATGATTTTTGCACGCTTAGCACTCAACGACCATTCCACGCTGAACTTCACAAATTAATCAATGAGAAATACAAAAAAAAATAGAACTACCCTTCAAAATCACGAATAACTCTTGTGACAACACCGCTAGACAATGGCTATGAGAGATGCAGCAGCTGTCAAAATGCATGGTGTCCACAGAGGGATCTACACACAAAACCATCCGTACGAGAAACCTGGCAGTGAGCAAGAAATATCTAGAACCGAATTGTTTCATTGGGTAGATGGAACATTCGATAGTTTTTCAGAGGTTGTCAAACATTGTTTACAACCAGTAACATTGGCATCAGTATTGTATTAGACAGTCAGGCTGCTCTTAAAGCACTGAGCTCCAGCAAGATAAATTCCAAGCTTGTATGGAGCTTTATTGAATCCTTAGAATGCCTGAGTACAAACAACAGAGTAACTTTGCTGTGGGTACCTGGACACCAGGGGGTGGAGGGCAACGAGAAAGCCGACATCCTCGCCAAACAGGGAACCGAATCTGTGTTCATAGGACCAGAACCATACTTTGGGATCACCGCAAGTGCGGCCAAAACAACTATCTCGGACTGGGCGGAGGGGAAAAGACTCACGTACTGGTCTGAATTACCAGGATCAACCCATTCGAAGGCGTTTCTGCCTAAACCATCGAAATATATAACCAGGCAGATCCTAGAATGGAGCAGGGGTAACCTGCGAATTCTGACAGGACTGCTTACCTGACTGCTCTAAGATACCACCAGGGAAGGATGGGTCTGAACCAACAAACGGACTGTCGGTTCTGCTGTGTGGAAGACGAAACGGCTGAACACATATTATGTTCTTGCTTAGAGAGACTGAGGTTCGACATATTTGGCTTCACCAATTTAGAACCTATCGATTTCAGACAAATCTCACCTAATTCAACCATTATTATGTCGTCAACCTCGGGATTTTCCGAACAGCTTCGGAATTCAATAAGAGGATCAATCCTAAGAATGTATCACCTCTTTTCTCTCTATCGCCCTTTGGTACGCGCAATGTTGCACGAGACAAAGCTTCTTATTGAGGCACCTCAATTATTGAGGATATACAAATGATTAGATGCAAATATTGCACAATGTCATAAACATCCCACCAACTATCATACAGCTGTAAGCGAGGCTGTGAAGCTGTAGATCATAGAAGATGGATGCAATAACGGACTATAACGACCAAAGATGAATCCAGAAGACTTCCACTCCACCAAGAGCCTGTACGAACTGAGTGAAGTGTCCAGACTCACTGGATTAGATAGAGTAAAGGAAACGGAAGGTATCACAATATAACCTTTGGTAGAAGTCCATGGGAGAGTCTACATTGACCCAGATGTTGATGAAGGCTTCCAAGACAAGTGCAAATTGGCGCCCAACGTCTAATACGTGACGAAAAACCATGTTGTGCAAAATGGGTTTGATGCACCAATGCATGTAATTTCTTCGGCGCTCGCGGTATTACTGTTTGACGATTTCCTAGTTAGAGGTACAGCAAAATCCCATTCAATCAACTTCATCATGAAAATGACTGGCTCATTACAGGAGCCCAACCCGTCACCAAATCGCTGCGAATGTTACCATATCCATGCAGGTGTATTCGCGAGACCATCCAGTGATATACATCAGAAACCAACGCTGTGTGCCACTTCCGAAGTAGCACAGTAGGTAGGCGAGGACTTGACTTGAGCGTGATTAGCAAAACAAATGTTGGCACTCTGAGATAACGTTCGTCAACTTGCGCTTCACTTGTCGATGGCAAAATACGATCGACTATCGCTGCTCCTACGCCATTCATTGTTATTAACCTTCGGTGATCGGTTATGCAAGACAATTGCATAAGCACAATCTCGACGCCAACTATTGCAGCATGCAGATATAAAACGCCATGTCAGTAGACAAAATAAATACGGATGGCACATGTGCTAAAGTGTGTCAGCGCTGTCAAGCGACCAACTGACATTATTTTGTGTTCCAGAATTCCACAAACAAAAATAAGATGTCCACTGGAGCATGGATGCAGGAATATTTGTACTTGAATTGAATGCACAGTCAACTGATAATTTCCATGCATTAATTGAAAGTATTATCCTCGGCACCCTTAAATCTTCTGAAATTTAGAGAGACTTTCCGACACATCGTCTTATTCAGTAATTTAGATAATGCACCCCACAATGCATCAAAGAATAACTGTATGAAACTGAATCTGATAGTAACATTTCATGAGGCTGGCTAAACCAGTCACAGATACTATCTTAGCGCCCGCAATGCTTAACCATGCGTTAATTCAATTTCCTACTGTACTCGCACGCCCTTTTTTGAATTCTAATAAGGATACAACTATGTTTGCACAACTGCTGCTATTTTGAGGTGAGGTACATAGGCGAATTCGTCACGCCCAGTTGCTATGTATGTAAGTATAGCCCTGAAAATCAAAAAAAGTACAGTCACCAAGAAATTAATTTGTAACAGTATTAGGATCTATGGTATTAGATACAAGTAACAGTAGCGAAAATCCAACCAGGAACTCTTGATGGTGTCAAGGATATCATGATATGAAGCAGCTCTACAAAGATATATTTTCTTCTTCCGGAAGATGAAAAGTTTGTATGCGTTCGATCATTCTGATATTTCCTATCTACTAGATTTAGCGTGTTGAAATTGTCAGGAGAAGGTCACATCAACGTTATCCTTGTTTTCATGACATGAATGCATGCGAATAATACTCGGCATTGAGGAGTTACATACTTAATTATAGATTGTTTCCCATATTCCGGACACATATTTTTGACAAGTGATTCAGGATTATAAATAGATAATTAGCAAATTTTCTATCCTTCTTTTGTAATCGATGCGAAGGTTAGATATATTTTAACGTGGAGCTGTAAAGGGTCAACTGAGGAAGAAGAGGCAGTTTTACCAATTTACCTGGATGAAATGACTACCGGCATATCGATACCGAAGTACAATCATGAACCATTAGCAGGATTATTGGATAATACAGGTAATAGCCATGACATTTATCGTTAAGAAGCCATTAAATACTTAGCTTCTTCACAAACAATTTCTTGTTTGTACTGATAAATAAATCGGTCCACGATTGTTGGCATTGTGTATATTCTTATGATAATGAGCCCACTCGGAACGCTATTATCTACGAATTTGGGTCGTTGGTTTTTGTGTAGCCAATAAATTAGGAAATCTCTGTTCTTGCCACAACGAAGTCTATGCAACGTTGGCATTGCAAGAGAAAGGTATCTACATAACAGAACTCAGAGGACAGGTTGCTGTTTCGCAACAACAACATTCACTCAATTCACTGTGCCGAACATAACCTATTTTAAAGTAGTATCAACCGACAGTGTTCCTCTCTCACTTGCATTTTCAGGTGTAGGTGCTGTTATAGAAATATTTGATGTTAGCAAATATCGAGCCTATCGAGGCACATATTAATTGAAGTTTGTGGAGTTTCTGTATAAAATATAAGTAGGCGGGCTAGGTCACAGTGTGATAATTTGAATGTAGATTGGTGCCAGATAATAAAGAAGATTCGCTTGGTTGTTTTGATGACCGCGATACACAGAAATATTGCGATTCAACATTATTACGAGAGAATTCTTGTTGATGAACTTAAAATATAAATTTATTATATTTCTAATACGCATTCCTGGAATTTGATGTTTACTAAAACGCTTCAATCCTTGTCTACAATTAGGTAATTAAACATTATTTTCAACTAGATATCTTGTAATATTGTTGTGAATAGTCCTACCTACACTTATCAGGTAGCTGACATTTCAACTTTTATCATTTTATATCCAATCTGCCTACCTATACTTACAATGGTTCAGTCGTGTTTAATTTTACAAAAATAACTGATTTTGAAGGTAGGTAGGTACTTATTATTTGAATTTTTGAATAGATGCCGTTTGTACAAAAAATGTTTAGACGTTATAATAGTTTCTTAACTTTAAGAGCGCAAGATAGAGTCTATTATGTTCACCGCACGTACTTAGGGCATAGATCTTAGGGTGAATATGGTGAGAGGTAAGTAGGTATGTGAAAAATTCCAAAGCCTTGCCGTTCTACAGACAAACTAGAGTTGATAGAGAGTTGTATGACATATCTCGAGATTGACGACAAAAGGACCGTTCTGAATGAGCTGGGCCAATCCGCGTTTGGCTGATATCGCTATACCTAGTGAGGATTTTGTTGTAAATATGAAAGCATAATGAATTATTTATAAGATGTTCATGTGCATGAAAACAAACAGAGCATTTATGCCGAATGCATATAATTAATCTAACCCAAATTCTAGTGATAAGAAAGGAAACGGAAGCTTCCGATCCAAATACATATTCCATAGCAACAACGATATTTGTAATCTCGAACCGAAGTCCTGTCCCTTTGTCTTTGTCACAATGAAAACAATATTTATCACTTTATCTAATCGTTTTTCTGTCTGATCGTGCTAGATACCGATAATCGGTGACAGGCAAATTTCATAAGAAACAAAGCAAATCCCTCTAGAACAAAGGACCCCTCCTGCTGCTGCGAGGATATTTCCGTAACAAAGTAACATCAAATAATCGACCGTGAACAGCACCTTGTTTATTCTGGTGACGTCACAAGGATGCAATTACCCGTTCTGTGGCAGAGAGAGATAGGTTCCGTGCAGGCGCAGCACCGACACAGCACCGGCTTTTCCAATCCCCAATCACAGTCGGCCAAAGAAAGCTGATACCCTGAAGAGAAGAGCGGCCAAACCGGTATATTGTGCGTGCAAGAGGACGAGCGAGATTCTACGCATTTCGAGATGGTTAACGTTTGGTCGACATGCGATGCGTTCTTTAACAAAACACCGGCTTCGGATTGAAAAACTCACCTCGATGCCGAAAGGCTGTATGCTGATGATAACCTCGTCTGTTTCAGCGTGGTGCTTGCACACCTCACCACAAACTTCTCTACCGTTGTGGGTAACAAAGCATTTTTGCCCGGCAACGAGTTCAACGCCCAACACCGATTGGAACCCGGGCCCTATCAGGTCATTCTCTCTGAATTCCGCGGTCGTTCTGCCCAGGCTACCTTGGCGGGAATCGAAGCGCACCGTGTAGCGCGTATTTGGGGTTAGGTTGATGCAGTTATTGTTCTCAACGTAGTTGGCCGGCGTTTTGACGGCCTGAATAACGCCCGAATAGAACTTGCCGTCTTCTCCTGGGGCACAGACACGCGTCCCGATGATGGAACGCTTCGCCAGACGTTTGCCGGTAGACATCGTTGGATGGCGCGATAACGTAAAATACGTAAAGTTCGTGTGTTCACAACACCACGTCGTCCGTGAAATACAGTCTCCTCACCACTAAACTACTCGTGAAACACTTTACTGGACCAGCTACCGTAGTTGGGTCGTAATAAATGAACATACTTGTGATAGGATAGATCAAGGCCTGCTACGAGAGAAGGCAGCGATTTGTCTCTGTTAACGGTTGAACGAAGACTAACTGCCGGCCGGCTGACTCGGCTTCTCGACTAACAGCTGATGGTAGTAGGGGGCGCTGGCGTAGCGCCCGGACCCAGCTGACGATAACAACAAAGGCACGTGACGGCAGGGGAGCTTGGCGATTGGCGGGCCGGCGTGACCCAGTTGCGTTAGGTTGGTGGTGGGGGGGCGAAGCGCGTGGGGACGGGAAAGGTCACACTAGGCTTCGCTTCGGGTTTGCGCGTTCGTGGGATCGCGTTTCTCGGATCTCGGCGATCGAGTTTGGATTGGATTGATGGGGAAGGACACAGTACACACAGGAAAACTAATAAAACTGAAATATTGGCTATATTCCGAATTCAACTGATCAGTACTGTCAGTGTAAATCCACTGAATCAAAAATGCAGTGCTGTAATTCGGAACACGTTTTTATGGTTTTGATCAGTAATCAGCAGCAGTTGATCAGCTGGTGAAATTTGAATATCATTCTCAGCGTCAATTATTTTAATAATATTGAATATAATATATTATTGATTTATTATTGATAAAAAAAGACTTAATGTTTAAAAAACAATGGAATTAAATATGACATCCCTTTCCCCTCTAAAATAATGACAGATCACTGAAGCCAAATTACTTTTTGATAGTCAGCAATTTCAGCAGAATGTTGAGTCGAAATACATATTTGGAATGAATAGTATGTCTGCCCACAAGTATCTGTAACTTTCAGTGATTTTTTTTGATTTCGGAATCAAAAAGCAGATTCAGTACTGTCAGTTGTCTGTATTACCCTTTACAGTGTAGTCTTTTATGAGAGTATAATGAAAAATTCCTATAGGTAGGTATATTTTACTATTCATAATATACGATTATATTAATCTCATTTACTGTTGTGATAGTTTCTGTAATGATCTAATTAATTTATTATTTATGGTTACCTATAATTACTTATTTCTGAATTGCTAAAGAGAAAACTCTGAAGGCATAAAGAAGCCACTATTGTGTTTTCTTTGGTGTTCTCTTACTGGCCGTGTCTAGAAGCAAGCTAACGTGGCGTGGATCTTGTTTTCAGAATTCGTCCACGGGAAACAGACTTGTGTAGTATTCGAATACCCAGTATTCTGAATCCTATTCTGAATACATTTGGCTGGTATTCGAATACTATTCGAATACATTTGTGTATTTGGTATTCGGTATTCGACTGAATACTTTTTTGGTCAGTACTCGGTATTCTGGATTCTGAATACCGTTTTTGAATCCCAGTATTCAAATACCCACTTTGTATTCGAATCCTGTTTTCACATACTTTTCGATTATTTCTATGAATATTGCGTTACGCTTAAACGGAGAAGTCGCGATATATTATTGGTCGATCATATATTGCGACGGCTCCGGCGATTCTGAATTCACGATGATTGCCCTTCAATTATGCAAAAATATTTAAGATATAACTCTATATTACCGTCGTCTACTCCAGTAGAACCATGTAGAACGATTGTTTTCTTTTGCGGGTGTGGTAAAGGAGATTCTTAATCTTTATGTTTCTTTTCGAAGGGTGTTTTTTTTTCTGTTGAAGTACTAGTCTGTTTTTATGAGATTCATATGTTTTATTTTAAATTGAATGTATTTTATTTTCAGATTTATTATTTATTATTATTTTTCATTATTATCTTGCTAAACAATCATTTTGTGTTACCTTACTGTTATTCAATGTACCAAAGCACTTTATTTTAAGTTTCATTTATAAATTGAATATCGTTTCATTTTGAATAATTCTTCAAATAAAACTAAGAAATAGAAATAATTAAATGTTTCTTATTTAACCTCATTGTGATAGATTTTCTATTTTTTTATGTATTTTATAAATCAACTCTACATACATGAATATAGGTAAACGAGCTTTATGTGCGCAAATGTTTTTTTTTCAGTTGGGATATTCATGAAATATTCATATGTGAATGAATCCAGGTATTCGAATACAGCGGTATTCGAATCCTTTTTTTTCTCTGTATTCGAATCTTGAGTATTCGAATACAATTTAGAGTACAGTATTCAGGATTCGTATTCGAATACCGGATTTCAGTATTCGACCCAAGTCTGACGGGAAATGCATCATTAGTTCTTGAGGTCGGTAGGTACTTATTGAAGTTGAAAATGATAATGCAACTCAATTTCTTTCATCATGTACTATGTACTACATACCTATAAGGAACTAGGTATAGGTACTTAGGTATAGGTACCTACCAAAAAAAAAAAAAGAATTTTCCTATACTGTTCCAAGGTGATTGAATATAGGGACGCTGTGTATTCTTAAAATTTTATTCGAAAATGTTCGACTGAAACTGAAAAGTTAATTTTTGAACTTTAGCGAGAATTTCAGTACTTGGAATATTGATGTACATACATTATATGGTTACTATACACTCAGGACACACATGGAAATAATTTTTTTATTTTTGATGATCGTCATTTCCAAATTTTGTGAACTTTTGCTACTCGCCTAATGGAGATAAATTTGCCATTATGAAAGCTTATCACTAGAGAAACTATGTGAATATTTCTTACATTTAATTTATTTCTGAACAAGAGATCTCACATTCACAAGTCAACAGTCCTAAATGTTTAATGTATAGTCATTCCCGCTAAACATTTTTTAACATCATCAGAACGTATTCAGAATATACCTACGTATTTTTTGAGGTGATATGGCAACTTATTTCAACATTTCACGAACGTGAGAGGGGAAAAATTTATAAAATTACCATATTATATAAACACGTTTTTCTATCACTATACCTACAGATCCTTTACCATTATTTACTACTTTTCAAGGCTTATGTCGTTTTTTCGTCCAATATAGTTTTCGTCATTTTATGAACTAGACAGAACTCTAATGATTGAAGTAGATTATATTTAGATCTATGCTAGTAGTGAAAAAATAGTTATTTATGTATCGACAGCGTAAAGTAGATCTTTATGGACCGCAGCGTGTAATTAAAACAGCGAAGGGACATTATAAGGTCCTAGGTCCATAAAAGTACGAAATACATAAAATATTTTTTCTGCAACCGACACAAAAGTCGTCCATTTTGATACCAAAATTAGCTCTTAAATTGACGTTTCTATTACTGACACAAAAATAGGTATGTTGCTAGGCAACATATTTAGTTCCTAGGAGCTAAAGTTGAATTTTAGTTCCTAGGAGCTAAAGTTGAATTTTAGCTCCTAGGAACTAAAAAGGATCTACTGGACGTCATCAAGAATAAACAACATTTTGACGGTTGGTTATTTGGGTTGAGACGCATACCTGATTTGTTTCCGATTTCAGCAGATTTGGCGTTTCATACACATGCTGGAGATATAAATACACCTTTATTATAGTTTAGTATTGGAATTATAAATATCTCAGTTAAGTATTTTTGTTTTGATCAGGGAAGCCTTCAAGATTCAAATACTTGCTTGATCTGTATTTCATTCGTTACTCTCGGGATGGATAACTTGTTTTTGAATAATCACGGCAAGCAATAGTTTTTTGTCTCAAACAACGATATTGTTTAGCTTCATTTTGATCATCAAGTGAAACACAGTGTAGTATGGAGAGGAAATAGAGGAATAATTAATCACTATTATCATTGTTGATATGCTCACTAACCTAACATTTTCCACGTCTTGTTCCTATGGCACGGTATTTACCATTAGAGCACCTGGTCCATACACAAATATGTCACTCTGTTGTTGTATTCATATTGAAACTACAATTCGAACATCCTAGAAAACCTAACCTGCTGTTGATGCAGGTAGAATATTCTCACCACATGGATTATTTGTCAATATTTGTTGCATTGCATACATATGGCACGGCATTGGTGGTTACTTCACATGTTTATTTGAGTTAATTGTTTCGGTTGCAGAAAAAATAGCATGTTTCATTTGGATCAAAAGTGACTTTGTTCGACTCGCAAATTTTGCTTTCGCTCGGCTTCGCTAAACGCTCCGCCTCGCAAATGCAAAATTCGCTTGTCAAACAAAGTGTCACTTTTGATCCTAATAAAACAATCTACTATTATGCACGGTCGTTTTAGACATTTATTTATATTGTAAATATGGAATTTATTATTGATTTTGAATTCATTTGGCCAAATGATGTATGTCAAAGACTAAAATAGTTCGAATGGTAGTCTACTAGAAATTACTGAAAAAAACTGTGAGATCACTTTACCGCCCGATCACCTACTTTACCTCCCGCTGTACTCCTTCATCGCCTAAGGGCGTTAAAGTGCTACCTACTTTACGCCCGCGAAACCGGGCGATAAAGTGCCACTTTATGCACTTCACGTGCATAAAATGCCTCCGTATATAATCTTGGTCCCTGATGGGTAATTATTATATTCTTTACTATAATTATATATACCTTGGAGTAGAAATAACGATTATTTTCAGAGTAGACCTAACTCCTTCATAAAATAAATGACATTTTCAACAAAGGTTAAAAATGAATCCTAATACCCAATGATATGCGATCCAAAAGAAAATGATGAATGATAAATAGCACTAATACCCTAAATAGGCTTTAGGCTTCCGGAAGATTCCTTTGTGTGCAATTTCATTGCATTGACTTCGCTAGTAGGATGTAAGTTCTCAGCGTTGGTGGTTGTACGAGGGGTCGAAAAAGTCAGGGGAGGGGTGGAAATTGTGTGAAAGCAGGTCACGGGCCGGGTTGGGTCCCGATTTTCCAGGTCAAACCGGCGTTTTCGATGTGCGCTATACCGACGTCACATCCTTTGTTTATCCAACGCACTCCAGATGTTGAAGATATCTAGATTTTTGCCCGTTATCTCTATTGTTCGAAGGTGTACATTACGCTGCAAATGGATTTCACACTTTTCCATCGATCTAGTTGGACTTGTTCCATTGTAACCTCAATACATAGCCTACATCTCTACATTGAGTCAATATTTGAAAAATGAAACCTAGGTCAGATCATTCTCATTTCAAACAATAATAATGGTTTCATTTTGAGTGCCTTCAAAAATGGAAAGGATTATCATTTCCCAATAGTGTTAAAAATAAATTTGCATAGGTACTTTCAAACAACTAGTTGCCCTATAAGTCACGTAATATCGAATTGAAAATGATTTTTCTCCTGAATTCGAATTTATATACATAATGTTGGGCAATATTACCGTAAATCTCCTAAACACAAAGACCTACAAATTACAAAAGCCAAACATTAACCATGGTGATTAGGAAACTATTAGTTATACAACTTTCGAAAATAAAATCATACAAAAGTGATCCCAAGAAATCCGACTTCCAAATTTCGCCGCTAGATGAGCTTCGAAATCACTCGAAGGTAGTTTCATTGAAATTTGGTAGACGTTGAATG